CTGTCTAGCAGTGTCGGGTGCCACGTCTTCTCGCCGCAGCGCCCCGGCACGCGGATCGGCGCGACCGAGTCGGCCTTCATGTAGCGGCCGCGGTACTTCTCGGAGAAGGTCGAGCTGAGCAGCAGCGCGGTGAGCACCTGGCTGCCCCAGAGCACGGCGAGCAATGGGGGGGAGGGGCGGGGGGGAGACAAAGGCAAGGGGGAGAAGGGGCAGGGGGGAGGAGCATGAGTAGGGAGGAGGAGGAGGAGGGGCATGAGGAGAGAAGAGGAGGAGGAGTGGGGAGGAGGAGGAAGAGGAGGAGGAGGAAAAAAAGGAGGAGGAGGAGAAGGAGGAGGAGGAGGAGAAGCGAGGAGAACTTGTTTTGGACTCAGCCTGGCGTTGCAACAATCGGGCCCTTACATTACCAGACGTCCGAAAATAGTACCATAGCTTCAAAAGGAACCATCATCCATCCGCCCAGCTGAAAAATACGTTCAGGCTGATGGTGCGGTGTTGATGCAAGTGTCAAGCAAACTACCGACCTGATAATACGACTGCGCGTGGCGCTAAGGCGAAAGCCTCATATTGAACGGAGCCGCCCTCCGTCATAAAAACAGCTGCAAACTTGCAGGCTGTTTGAACTACGCGGCGCTGGGGCGAGCGCCCCATTTTGAAAAGGAACCACCCTCCATTACAGAAACAAGCGCAATGTGTTAAAACAAGCATGTGCGGCATTATGACGAGAGCTCCATGTTGAAAAAGGCCCCCTCCCTCCCTCCCTCCCTCCATCCTTCAAAACGACAGCAATGTGGAAATCTCAGGCGAAACGCGAAGCCCGCCTTAATCCGAAAGCCCTTATAACGGCGACGAGGCGACGATCGAAAGCAGTGCCCCGGCACTGCTTTGAACGCGTTCAAAGCAGTGCCCCGGCACTGCTTTGAACGTATGATATGATGATATGATGAGGATTATGATTGATGATGATGATGATTTTTCCAGCGTACACTGTCCGCAACTGCGGCAATCAACATCATGCTCCACTTGCCCGCAACTGCGGCCATCACCAACGCTGCCCCTCGAAGCACCGCGGAGGGCGCTCGGCAGGTCGCCCGCTCGAGCCCCACTCGACTTCACGCTGAGGAGGCGAGCCCTCAGGGGCATTGTCCGCAACTGCGGCATGATCAGAGGGCCACCACTGCGCGCCATCAGCGCCCCATTCGCTCGAGCTCCAGTCCCACCAGGACCAGCCCTGACATCTCGTGGCGGGACTGCGCGCCTCCCATGCGCCGCTGCCGCTGGCGTCCCAGGACCCAGCCGCCACTGCGGCACAAGAAGGGGTCGCATCGTCGCCGTTGGCAGCTTGCGGCGGTGGCGTGTTCCCAGCTCGCTCAGCCCCAGCGTCTCTCCCCGCAACTGCGGTTCCCATCTGGGGTCGGACGCCCTTCCCCGCAACTGCGGTGTCCGCGTAGCTGCCCTTCTTGCCGCCCTTCTTGCCGCCTTTCCTGCCGCCCTTCCTGCGTTCCAACCTCGCGGCGAGTCTTTCAGGTGACCTGCGGCACGTATTGCGCGTGAAAGCCACCAGAGGGAAGTGCGCTCCGTGCCTCGCCCTGCCGAAGGCGCCATGCCATATCTTGTCGTCGAGGTTGCCCTGCTTCACTCTGAAGGGATGGCGCACCCAATCGTCGCGTTCCCTGCGCGCCATCCTTTGCTCGAACTCCGCAACTGCGGTCAAGGATTCGCCAGATGGCGTCAGGAAGGCGCGCATCTTGTTTGCAACGGGCTCAGCCTTGGGCACGTAAGTCTGAAGCATCTTCCCAGGGCCATTCGTGTAGTCGAAGACAGGGAAAGACGGATCATGCTGGGTCGTCAAGAATCCGCCCTCACGGTCGTGCAGAACACTCAGGCCATGGTGAAGCTTGTACTGCCGAGGACAGTTTATGAACAAAATCGCCATGCTGTCTGCCCTGGGCTGGCCGCCTGCTGTCTTCCAGGGGGTCCACGCGGCGACGTCCACAGTCAGGCCGCAATTGCGGCACCAGGACACAAGCTGGAACATGCACATGTTGAAGTCCCCCATGCAGACCTTCACGTCCCAATCCCTGACGTAGGCGACGAACCAGTTGTAGAACTCATGGAGCTTCGTGACGCCCCAGTCTTGGTTGGCCAAGCTGTGGTGGACGTGCACCGCCATGACGTTGAAGGGGCCCCCCAAATGGGTCACGGCCTGGTCCAGGTGGACGCGCACCACCATCGCCCTGGAGTACTTGTTGTGCAGCTTTGGCGCAGGAGCCTCCGCAACTGCGGACGGTTTCTTCTTCTTCTTCGTTTTGGACTTCTCCTGCTTGTGGAAGAGTCTCGCAAAGTCTACGTGTTCAATGTGGCCGCCACTGCGGTCCCTCATGCCAACAAGGAGGGTCCCTGATGGCTCGCAGCCCTTAACGCACAGGTAGTTGTATTGAGTCCGACTCCGAAACCTATCGTCCGCAACTGCGGCTGCACTGTCCCTCGCGTCGTGCTCCCCACTGAGTACCGCGCAGGTCTCGTCGTCGCACTCGCAGAGGGCGATGATCTGGGCAGGGTTCGCGCGGAGCTGCGCCCACTCGTCCGCGCGTTGCGTGGGTCGAGCAAAACAAAAAAAAAAAAAAAATGGAAAAACAAATAAAAACCTATACAAAAAAAAAAAAACAAGGTAAATAAAAAAAAACGATAAATAGGACAAAAAAAAAGAATGGGAACAAATAAAGAATAAAGAGTCCAGATGAAAAATAAGAAAAAAAGAAAGAGAACTAAAAAAGGGAAAAGAAAAAAGAAAAGAGAAAAGTGATAAATAATACAAAAAGAAAAAACCACAAAAATCACTAAAGAAAAAAATATAAAAAATAAAAAAAATGAAAAAGAAAAAAATCAAGGTTGGGAGTATAAAATACAATAAACAATTAAAAATAAAAAAAAAAAAGTCTAAAAAACTCGAAAAAAAAAAGCTGCAGTCCCGTGGCAAATTGTCTCTCGCGAGCCAAAAAAAAGAAAAAAATAGAAGTTGGCCACGTAGAAGCCGACCCGTCCCGCTTCGAACTCCGTTTTCTCCTCCCATGCGTCGACAAGAGCTCTTTGGTTTTCCGACAGATTGCTTGTCTCGATGATGGGCACCCGTTTCCAGGGTCTCCGCGACGACAACACTCTCGGCATGTAGGAGTCATGTGCAGCCGCAACTGCGGCTCCCGCACCTCCCCGGGACTCAGCCTCGTCAGCGGAGGCAGCCGAGGACGCGACGGTGCTGTCGCCATCTTGCGTCCGCTGGTCGTCGTCATCATCCGCAACTGCGGCTTCCTCGTCTTTGCCCCCCTCCTCCTCCTCAGCGTTGTGGATGAACACCGTTCTGGCGAATCGAAGTCCACGGTCCATACTCCCTGAGGATGCGCTCGGGCGCGCGGGCGGCCACATGCTTGCGTCTTCGCGTGCGCCACCTCGAGCCACGGTGGCTACGGAAATGGATCGCGAATGGGCATGGGGTCGGATGGAGGGAGGAGACAAAGAGGATTCGAGGAGTGGCAGAAGGAGGGCGAGGACTCAAAGGAACCGAAAGAACAACAAATGGACTGGCGGAGAAGCAGAAGGAGGGCGACGATTGCGAGGGACTGTGAAAGGATTATTTTCACAGCAGCAGGAAGACCGCAACTGCGGTTTTGCCTCATCTCCTGCCCGCGCGGGAGCCGCTTGGAAAAACAACTTCCCTCTGGACTTCCTGTGGGTCCGCAACTGCGGCCTGCATCACGCTAGGGCTGGGATTACCAGCGCCAGTTGCCCTCCCAGGGTTCTCACTGTTTCCGAATGCACGAACTGCGACAGCGCCGAACGGTTCCCAGACGCCGCGTCGTTCGCGACTTTTTGCAGCCACCCAGCAAACGTGAGCGGCCATTGCTCCTTGTGCTGCTTGCACATCTCCTCGTCCCAATGCGTCTTGAACCATGCCCACTCCCCCCTCTGCTCGTCTGGGAGGACGCCTTTTCCGCGAGCCAGGCGATCCAGAGCTGCCATCCTGTTTTTCTTGATCTTGAACTCCTCGGGATTCCACTGCGCTAGGGCGTGTTTGTTAGCCAAAGCCGTTTCCACCGCAACTGCGGCCTCCTTCTTTGCCCTCAAGGCGGCCTCGGCCTCTCGAATCTGCTTCTTGAGATCGTGCAACGCCTTCGTCCTGTCGTTCGCTTCCAGAGCCAGGCGCCGCTTATTCGCCACCACTGCGGCTTCGTGGTCTCGCTGGGCAGTCAACGCTCGTAGGACCTCGTTGTCCTCCCGCGCCAGCTCTCTCAACCGCTTCTTTTGTTTGCGTTGTTGCTGTCGGCAATCCTGCGCTAGTTTCTCCATGCCCACTTGGCGCAGCATATCTTCCGCCTCGCGGAGCGTTTCTGCCAAGGACGTCGCCACTGCCACCTGCTCGGGCGCCTCTGCGTCGACCACGCAGTCCATGGATACCGAGGATCCTTGAGGCCCAGGTGCCGCAACTGCGGCATCGCACTGTTCCGCAAGAGCCTCGGCCCACGAGGCCTCCTCTTGCTCTTCGTCCTCCTCGTGCTCCTCGTGCACCTCCTCCTCCTCCTCCTCCCCGCCATCCTCATCGCCCTCCTCGTGGCCTGGCTCCTGGCCTAGCGCTTCGTCGCCGAGCTTCTCCAACACGGAATCTGTGGCGTCGTGTTTCTCGTATTCGTGCATGAGACGCAGCACGTCATTGTAGGACCATTTCAAACGTTTCTGCTCGCATTCTTCCCTCACCTCCGCGACTGCGGTGTCCACTTTTGCTCGCAGCCCCCCTGCTTCCCTGAGTTCCGCCGCCTCTCGGCAAATCTCGAGATCTCCTGACTTGTCGAAGGGCGCTCGAATTCCCACTTTCAGGAAACCTTTCGCGGCGTCCAAGTGCAACTGCACATTCTCCAACACTGACAGCATCAAGCCGGCGCAATCGGAACGCCGCAACTGCGGCACGTGCTTCCCCAACGCAATTTGCTGCACCAGCGCTTTGGTCTCGAGGGCAATGTACCGGCGCTTCACGTGCTGGTTCAAGTCCGTGTCCACGGGCTGCGCAACTGCGGTCGTCCCCCCGCCGTGA